CCGGTCTGTAATTGCCGGGATCATCTCTAGCGCCCTTTTTAAATATTGGCGTTACATTAGCTAACTTCCAGTCATTGGGTACAGAAGCCGATTTAAAGGACAGGTTACAAACCTTAGTTAACAGTTCCGCAACTTCACATTTGAGTTCTTTCAGAACTCTTGGGTGAATGCCATCTGGTCCCGGTGACTTGTTAATGTTAAGTTTATCAATTAATTCCAAACCCTCCTCTCGTGACACTTCAATCCGTGACAGTTCCTCAGATTTGTCACCTACAAAAGCCAGCTCAAGTTTGGGAATCTCCCTAACATCCTCAGCCGTGAAGACAGAAGCAAAGAATCCATTTAGTTTCTCCGCAATGACTTTATTGTCTTTAAGCGCTCCTTTTGTATCTCGATCATCAAGGGGCCCTACTGGTTGTTTAGCAGGCTTCCTGCTTCTGATGTACTTAAAAAACATTTTGTTATTACCTTTGGAGTTTTTGGCTAGCCGTTCTTCAAACTCCTCTTTGGCTGTTCTTATTACATTCTTGCACTTAATTTGGCAGCGTTTATGCTCCTTTCTATTTGCCTCACTAGGATTTGACTTCCACTTTTTAAAGGAAGTCTTTTTATCTCTCACTGCTTCTTTTACATGGTTGTTAAGCCACGGTGGCTCTTTTTTAGTTCTTTTACTGTGTTTCTTAATTTGGGGTATACATTGAAGTTGGGCCTCTATGATGGTGTCTTTAAAAAGCGCCCATGCGGCTTGCAGGGATTTCACTTTAGTCACTGTACCTTTTAACTTCTGTTTAACTAACACCCTCATTTTTGCATAGTTCCCCCTTTTGAAATTAAATGCCACAGTGTTGGGCTGTTGAGATGTTCTTCCCACCATAGGGATGTTGAATGCTATTGTATTATGGTCACTATTTCCATAATACAATCGTGCATAATACAGTCCTTGTGCAGCGTTTGCCCACTCTGAAGCATTAGGTGTTGGCTAATGCTGAAGGCAGACTCTGTCTTGATGTACCAGGCTACGTCCTCACTATGGGGGAGGGGAGGGTCGATTTAAGATACGCAAATTCAGCTACGCGAATAGCGTAGCTGAATTCGACGTATCGGAGCCGACTTACCCCGTTGTGAGGATGGCGGCAAATCAACCTCCGTGGTTCCCCCCGTCGACGGCGCTTACTCCTACCTCCGCTGGTGGAGTAGAAGCGTCGATTCGGGGATCGATTGTCGTGTCCCGACGAGACGCTATAATTCGATCCCCAAGAGATCGATTTCTACCTGCCGATTCAGGCGGGTAGTGTAGACCTGCCCCCAGTCTAATCTGGTGTGGCCCAGTCCCAGATTCATGCTGTGTATGCCTGGATATATACAACAGAGAGGCTCCATCTCTCTAGCCATTATAGTCTACTTCCCTCCTCTTCCCCCATGCTGGAATGTAATATTCATTTACACTCAATGCAAAACTTGAAAACGGTTTGTTACAAAACTAAAGAGATTTTCCTGTAATTGGTTTGAATAAATGCATTGAGATTCATGGCTCTTTATTGTTTTGCCTGTGAGTTCCAGAACAAAGTGACATTGTGGTTTTTGGCTTTTGTAACAAACTTTTATTTATGATAGTGAATCTTCTATAATTGTTTGTCTTGAGTAATTGTTTAACATTATCTCAGACATTCAAGTTTTAACTTTTTCTATTGCTTATATGGTAAAGAGTGAAATAATCATAAAAATAATTACTAATACCGCAGATAAGTTGGCAAAAGGGGAAAAACCTATTGACGTGTATGATACTCTAATTACAGTAAAAAGCATCAAGCAAAACTGGGTTTGTCATTTAATAAGCATTTTATTTGAAGCTTGTCTTAGATTTAATTTATAGCTAAAGGCAGCATTTTGGAATTACATCCATGGTGAGCCCTTTGAAGAAGAGATCTTTGCCTGGAGCTGTACTGTGCACAATTCAACATACATTTGGGATGTTTTTCTTGTATTACAATGATTGAATATATCCCTGGTCACATATGCTATATGTCCTGTCATGAAATCACACTGGATGATGGTACATATGTACAATGAATTGCTTATTCCAATTGTAGAATACATTTTTTCATTGTTATATTTCATCTCCCACAACTATGGATCTTCTAGAAGAGGATCCTGAATGCTGCAGGCTCAGTTAAAGTCTGGGTGGCAATTGTAACTCAAACTCCTAGCCTTTGAGTTTCTCAGCTGTAACATTATCAAACAGTTTTTTTGTGTTCAATTTCCTTTTTTGTTTTTTAACGTCAGTAAAAAACTTTCCTTGACATCGTCTCAGTGTCATAACATCATGTCCACAGACTTGCATTGGTATCACCGTGAGAACTTTGTAACAGTGCCAAGGTGATGTTGTGGAAAAAGTCACCCACGCATCATTTTTGATCAGAGACTCAGCCTGCGGCCCGTTTATTGATTACACACCAACACGTTGGGGGCAGCAGTTATCGGAACTGCTCCCCCGAAGCAAAGCATACAGGAGCTTTTAAAGCTTAAAACCACAAACCAATTACACACACTTGAGTAATAATGTCCTTATTTGGAATTAATACAGGTTAAGGGTTAGGGTCTTTTCGGTACTTTCCAGCACCCTTTTGCAACCTTGCCTTGTATGGATATAATTGAATTAAGGTCTCCTTGGTACTTTCCAACATCTTGCTGCAACTTTGCCTTTTATGAGGTGCTGTTACAAAATGCCCCTCACGGGATACAGTAACACAATGGGGTAGTCACACAATAAGTATGGGGGGGGGCATGAGTTACATTTATAATTGCTTCACACAAGCGGTTATTATATTTCAAAAGCAATAGGCACATATTGCAAATAGTTTTTGCTTCTGGTGCTTTCCATCGCCTCCCCCGGCCCTCCTGTCCCAACTTCTCCCTTTATCACAGCGGTTATGGAACACAACTCTTAGTTTGGTTCAGGCTTTGGGCCTGCTAGCCACCAGCCGGGCCCAGGCCAAGCAAGCAAAGGCCTAGACCATTAGGGCTAGCCTAATTTTCCCCCCACAGTGAATAGAGAGAAAGCATTGTCACAAAAGGGTAACTTACAGGCCATCCTCATTAGCAGGTTATCCAACTTTAGGGGACACTCTTAAGATTAGTCAGTTAAAAATCTGTGCCTCTGTAAATATTAAATTCATCTCTTCATAGTATCCTGAAAGTAGCTTCATTGTTTTTTCCTAAATGAAGGAGGCAGTGGAATATTATTAGATTAAAGAAAATCTAACTGACTTTGACCTATAATATTAAAGTGGTGCCTAGGTTTCCCCCCCACCACCACCACCTCTGATTTCAGGAGTCATATTAACTATTTGTCCACATTCTGCCACCTTCAGTTCTTATTGGCTTTACTGTTGTAGGCAGGCAGTGAAGTAAAATTTACACATGCCCCGTTCTCCTGAAACGTAAAAACATACGAATTGCCAGAATGGATCAGACCTGGGGTCCATTTAGTCCAGTGTCCTGTCTCAACAGTGGCCAGCACAGACACTGCAGAGAAAGGTACAAGAACCATGAAATAGGCAGATGTGGGATAATCTGCCCTTCCTCCTCCCCATATTAGTTCTCATCCTGATCTAATAGTTAGGTATTGATTTAAACCCTGAAGCATAAGGTATAAGCTCCATTTTGAAATTTGTTAGCTTTAGCAGTTATAACCCTTATAACATTCTTGTCATCCATATAAATGTGCAATTCTTTTTCGAATCTTACCAAGTTCTTGGCTGCAACAAATACCACAGTTTAATTATGTGTTTTGTGAAAAATGCTTTTATCAGTTTTGAATTTGCTACCCATTAATTTCATGCAGTGTCCCGTTCTTGTGTTTTGAGGCAGACGCTCCTGATCTACCTTCTCTAGACCGTTCATTATGTTATATACTTTTATCATGTTCCGTCGTCTTGGTCTCCTTTTTCAAGTAAACAATCCTGCTTGTCTAGTCATCTTTCTCCAAGCCCTTCTAATTCTGCAATATCCCTTTTTGAGAGGACTCTTGTAAATGTCACTTTCCTGGAGATGTGCAGGCCTGGGAAAACACTAAACTTGAGAGTATCTGGGAACAAAAACTCAAATATTTGGCCTCTTTGGCTTGACAGCCTCCCTTTTAAACTTCCCATCCATTTCAAAATATCAAAGGGTATTTCATCCTCAGTGAAATATTAATCTGTTTTACTTAACTATCTCACAGGGATGTTGAAAAACAGAATTAATTCTTTAGAAGGTATTTAATCCTGGGATGGAAGGTGCTATAGAAGTGCCAAGTGATGGTAGGGTCATTTGTTATTACTGTGTCCCTGCAAAACCTTGAATTTTAAATTGCAGAGAGAAACCTGCCAAAGTGTGAGGTCAGTGTTTCCTCTGAAATAGTTGTCACTACTAAAACAGCGTAGGAAGCTGCTGGGCTCCAGACTCTGCGTTGTGTTAGTGTCATCTGCAGCATCAGAGATGTGGCCAGGAAAATGAGGTGGGAGCAAGCTTTCAAATAGTTTGTTGATTTGTATAGTTATTATTGAAAAGCCTATTAAGGTTCTTTTTATTTTCCAAAAATTTCCAGTTCTGTGTGGGGAGTGGCACATGGTCTAGTTGTTACAGCAGGCGACTGGGATGTAGGGTTTTAAACCTGGCTCTGCTGCTGTTTCCCTGTAAGACATTGGACAAGTGATTTCCGCATCCTTGCCTGTGAAATGGGGAATTATCTTTACTTTTTTCATTTGAACAGACTTGGACATTACATCTGAAAGTGGTGGTGTTGCAGTCGATGGGTTATGACCCCAGTTGCTAGACTAGAGTGGTCCAGTGACTACACTAGTGGGGCTAGAGCAGATGAGGCTATTGGAGGTCCAATTAGGAAATGCTTCTGCTTTTCTCCTGGCTGTAGCTTAGTACAGAGGAAAGACTTTACTTTAATTTTCCCTTTTTGTTTTTTCCAGAAGTGGCCAAGCCGAAGCCCCGACAAACAATGAAGCGGAAAAGGACCGCTGACAAGTCAACAAGCACTAGTGATCCTGTTATTGAGGATGACCACGTTCAGGTGAGGCCTCTTTCGCCATCTGCCACAGGTTCCCAACCAAGAGGCTTTATGAACATATGACTCACTACAGGCTTGTTTTCACTGTAGGTCTCAGATTATAAATTGAGTTTGGTCCCTATCTCAAGTCCCATCAACACACACATATCCTTAACTCAAGTGCAGTGGTGCTTGTAACTCAAGTTGACTGGCCTGAGATGGAGTATACGCTAAATCTCAAGTTAACACAACTCATCAGCTGCCCACACAACTGCTTTGTAGTGTGGACTCAGGATAGAGTGCTTCTATCCCTCCAGTGTCTTCCCACAGTTCCTCCCATATGCCCAGAAAGGACAGACAAGCTCTCCCACAATTCACTGAGAAAGCATTCATAGAGCAGTTCAGCTTACTGTAGCGCTAAGAACCATGGGATGGTGCTGCCCATGAGTGGGTACAGTGCCAGGATGGACACAGTACCTCAAGTGTTATTTTGTAATGTGACTGCTCTTACTCAACCTAGACTAACCTGAAGAATAAATTGAGTGTAGATAAACTTAATAACTCTGCCACGAATATGTAGCTTAAGGATACATCTATACTACATGCTTCTTTCAGCAGCATGTAGTGGACACACTCAGCCCCCTTAGCACGGGCATAAATAGCAGGGTAGCCGCACAACTTAGGCAAGTAAAGGCATGCCTGAAGGGTGCAGGTACGTATACAAGTACATACCCTACACGGCTCTCTACTCGCTCAAGCCACACCTCCCCATCTATACTCTATTTTTAGCAGTCTAGTGTCCCACTGCCTCCCCTGAGCTGGAGTCTTTCCCTGCTGCAGAAAAAGACTGCAGCAATGGGGAAAACCTCAGGTAGCTCCCCGCTGCTGGATCCTATCCCCTTAGCAGGGAAAGGCTCTGGCAGTGGGGTTTCTCCATTGCCTCACCCCTGCCAGAGCCTTTTCCTGCTGCAGTGAAAGGTTCCAGCAGTAGGGAGCTGCTGAAGGTTTTCCCTGTTGCCTGAATCTCACCGACACATATAGTTACACGTCACAGTATGGGCGCAGACATGTACACTCCACTCCTCTGACTCTGGTGTGTTGTGTAGACATAGCCTCAATGTGCTTTCTTATTTCCTCTATTTTATAACTAGAGGTTCTGTAAAGGGCATAGAAGTTACTTCTGAGTATGAGAGTTGTTCCTTTCAAAATAGGCTCTGTTTTAAAACAACACTGTTACATTGAAAGTCATTTTTTGTTCATTCTGCAGTTAAAATTAATACATTAGATCACTGCAACTGAAAAGTTACCAAAAACCTACTTTCTCTATTTTTCCGGTATGCTTACTTTGTGCATTTGACAGCACTTTGTATGTCATCTGTCTGCCAAACAGATTCTTCCTTGCTATAAAGGTCATTACAAAATTTGCTGGATGTCTTTTTTAAATTCAAGTTGTCTTCCCTTAATTGTATATTGTTAGTGCCCTTCTCCTAGTCCCTGCAGTGTTAAAAGTGACTCTGCTCGTGTCCCTTGAGATATCAGAGTTTACATTTGCTTTTTCTTTAGTTCCCTAACACTAATGTCAGATGTACCGGACTGCATGAGCTTCAGAGACTAAATTTTCTTCTCACCATCTGAAGTTTTCCTCTTAGAGGCACCTTGATGAAAGGTAGTGTATATGGGAATGTCACACTGTGATTCTCTGTACCATACCTTTCTGTATTTAAACAGAAGAATAAGGCTCCACAACTGTCAGTCCCAAGTCAGCCCAGTATTTAGAATTTGGCTCTAAAGCATAAATAAGTTTTTAGATTGTTTGTGAGAGATAATACAGTGAGATTTTGAGTAGTAGGGAACTTGAGGTATTTTCTGTCAAGTCAATGCTGCTTATAGGAATTGTGTATTGACACTTTATGGGTCTGAAAAATCACTTATTTTTAACTCATTTTGTAACAGTGCTGATCAGCAACACAAGTCCTGCTTTTCCCTTGCCAATCTGTTCTGGCCAGAGGCCATGACCACATTGGACAGTGTCCCAGAATAAATTTTCTCCTAGCATATTTACAACAGAGCTGCTTTTCCCATTTTTGGCACGATTTTTTATTTCTATTCAGACTTAATCCTTTAAATGAATTTTGTATTAATCCTATCCTGTGGATTATTTTTTAAATCTTCACCAGGTGCTGACTTTGAAATCCAAAAACCTTGTTGGAATCACATTGACCAATTGTGGAATAACGGACCTGATCCTGAAAGATTGCCCCAAAATGATGTTCATCCATGGTATGTTATTAATGTCATTGGGACTCATAGCCAAGCCAAGTCTTCCATTCTGTTTTTCCCCAAGAGTTTGCCACCTTTTCTATCCACGCTGAAAATACTAGAGACATTTTAAAATATTCTCTTAGGAACTATCCACCAGCCTTTTGCTTACTCTGTATTCATCAGCAGCTAAGCTACATGTCAGTTTTACTCAGAACAATGAATAGCTGTAGGAAGCATAATGAAACATGTCATGGCTTCTCAGTTTCGGAGTTCCTTATTTCTCTAGCTGTAATAGATTTAATAAAGGTTAACACATCAAACAAACAAACAGTATTAAATAACAATCATAAGGAGAGACCTGTCCAGTAGACAAACTTGGAGTTAATCAGATAACTGAAAGTTGACTAAATGAATTTAGAGTGTTTTGATTTCCCTGTCACTTCTTCCTAGTTCCATATAGCTCTCCCTGCAGTTATTTATCTTACACAATAGTGTTTCCTTCTTGAAGTGCTGATGAATGAGAAAAATCTGTATTGACTAATGGCACTTTGAGTATATTATGTGCCGCATTCCAGTCTTCTCTGATTAGTTCTCCCTAAATCATCAGGTCAGTTGTTCTGTTTTCTTCAGCATCTACAATCAGTAATAGTGTTGTCTTGTCTGAATTGGTGGCTCTTTCACCAGTCTCCATGAAGTCAAATAAAACAGGAACGTGTTTACTTGCAGAGATTAGGTTTCTCTCACAAGGCTAATCAAAGTGCACATTTTATTTTAACTAATCAGCTAAGTACCGATGATCCGGACATGACAGCAAGGAGGAGAACTATATTATCCCAGTATATAGTGCTTTGCCTTCCTCCATATTACAGGTGGTGATGTGATGCCATGATTAGAGGTAGATCTCTAAAATCAGATTTTTTATTAACTGTGCACACACCCTTCAGTAACTGCCCTTTACATCTATATGACCCATTTGCCTTATGTACCAAACAGTCTGCTTTTGGAGATCCCCTTAGGAAAATTCAGAGGCCTTTTATGTAGTATCTTGTTTGCTGCTGTTTTTATAGTTTTATTCATTTGTAATTTGTAGCTACGAGATGCCGTGTACTAAAGCATTTAAAAGTAGAGAATGCACCGATTGTCAATCGATTTGACTATGCCCAGTGCAAGAAATTAAACATGGATCAGGTACTAGATCAGATACTGAGGATGCCACCAGAGAGAAACCGGATCATTTACCTTCGTCCAATGCAGCAGGTAGTTTTCATTTAACCAAGACAAACTTTGAAGCTGTGTTCTTATTCTTTCATCTATGTTTGCTTTATTATTTCTACTTACTGCAAGATAAAGAATTGTGAGCATTACAGGAAACTCATTCTCCTAAGACCATACCACCAGCAGCTGCTTTCCTTTTTAATGCTTTCATTGCAGGATTTGAACGTCACTGCTAAGCATTAACTAGTGAATTTGTTACTGTCAAGTACTGTCTCCAACGCTAAGTTCATTGCATTAGAAGACTATACGTCAACTAAGTAAGGTGCTGAATTAATGCTGTACTAGTAACTAGAGGTTACATAATATACTGCAAAAACAACTACTCTTTATATACACCTCTACCCCAATATAACACGAATTCGGATATAACGCGGTAAAGCAGTGCTACGGGGGGCGGGGTTGCGCACTCTGGCAGATCAAACCAAGTTCGATATAACGCGGTTTCACCTATAACGCAGTAAGATTTTTTGGCTCCCGAGGACAGCGTTATATCGGGGTCGAGGTGTAGTCGCATAGTCGTTTTCCTTTATGACTGGAAGTATGCCATAGGCCCTGTGTGTCTGGAATAGTTTGGTGACTACTCTGCCCTCTCAAGTTCAACACCTCTACTTAGCATTTATATACTGTTTTACATCATCAAAGCAGACTTGAACTAATCAATCTACCAATATTGCAAGGTAGTTAAAATAGTAGTATAACCTGTGTTTACATGTGAGGGAACCAGACCCAGAGAAGTTAAATGTCTTGCCCAAGGTCACAAAGTGAATAAATAGCAAAGCTAAGACTAGAACTCAGAACTAGGTCTTTGATTAGTTGATGTGACCACGCTGCTTGCTTAGCAGGAGCACTCTGAATGTCAAGTAATGTTCCCTCTTTTCCGTGGTGTCGGAATAGTGGAACATTGGTTGGTACAGAAGACTATATTCTGAAAAAATAGATCACTGTTTGCAATCCAGTTCTTGGTCGCAGTGCGGTGCGTGATAACACGGTGTATAAAAAAACAAAAAAAACTTACACCAGGGCCACTTTCTGTAGGAATGAAGGCATCTTTGGCCACTGTGTTAATTAAACTAGTAACATGCAATTACTAAATCAGACAGTTTTACTGATTTATTCCCTACAAATCCTGCAGTGCGGCATAAGGTGCATTGGCAAAGCTGTGCTATGAAAGTTGTATAGTGGGTCTTCCCACTATATTTTAACTCTTTGCTAACATTCATATTTTTTCTCCTTATACTTTGCTTCCCCCTAAAGTGGGGAGTATTGGTCAGATATATGCTGCTGTCTCTAAAATCACCTCTTCTCCTTTCTCTTGGTTGTAAGTCCCTGTCTGACTTTTTCCACAGGTCGACACATTGACTCTAGAGCAAAAGATATTTAGCGGTCCTTACCCATACCACATTTGCATAATTCATGAGTTCAGCAATCCTCCTAACGTCCGCAACAAGGTGCGCATTCGCAGCTGGATGGACACAATAGCAAACATTAACCAGTGAGTATCCATCTCTCAGTGCTGAGCCTATGGACTCAGTATATTATATTGGCCAGATAAAGGGGTACCCTAACATGTGGGATCGCTAATGGGTAAATGATGGGATGAGGAGAATTCAAATAATATTTAATAGTTCCTGCACTGGGTTGTTTTACATTATTCTGTATCCATCTCTAATGGTACACTAACACAACTATAAACTGTACTGTTGTGCATCTTTGCTTTAGAATGCTGTAGCATTCTCTTTAAGGGAGGCCAGGGGAATTTCTTCTAAACTTGTATCTCTCACTGTTAAGTTCATTTTTTTAAAAAAGAGAGACAGACAGACGCACGCAGACTGACTCTAGTAGATGGAACTTTAGTTTTGGGGGGCAATAGAAATAATGTGCAAGGTTTCCAGCAACAGGAAATTATATGTAGCAGCACCTGTCCACCATTTCAGACCAGGTTTCCTTTCTTCTTACATTTCCTTGGCAAGATTAAAGAGAGATAATTTATTTAGTTCTGAAGGACAGTCCCCTACAAACAGGAGGCATCACAAACAGTTGTTTTACATGCAGCAGACATAGACGTGATCTTTTATCTAACCCCGTGTCACATGTAGTTGCACTCAGGAGCCAAGTGTGTATCTTACCAGTGTGTTTCTATAGATTCAGCCCTATTAAATCAGAGGTCATGTTGTTTCAGGGTTTCCAGTGTGATTACTGTCCCTTTTTGTAACATTTCCCATTACTGCCACCTGTATTTTCTTCCTTCCTGTCTCCAGAGAGCTTATTAAATATGAGTTCTTCCCTGAAGCCACACGAACTGATGAAGACTTGAAGAAATACACCAAGTACCCTTGGGGGCGGGATATTTATACTCTAGAAGGTGAGTATTACGGAGGATTGGAGGCTAATCTGTTGCAAAAGCAAATTATTTTGTTTCCTCAAGAAGTTGCTGGGGAGAGGAAAAATAGCTGGGGTAAATACGCCTTCTGACTGAATACTGGAGGTCACCTGCACACCATGAATTGAGACTGGCCCTTGTCTTGCTGCCCTCAAGCACTGCAGCAGTTGATGTGGAATTAAAAACTTAGTTGGGAAGTGTTTGAGATGATGGTGTGGAAATGAATAATAACTATCTCAGGAGATGACAGAGTCCTGGCTTGGACAGGTGTTGAATGGAGCATTCCTGGGCTGAGGAAGTTCTTTGCCTGTACCAGCATGGTATGCCTGCCTAATAAAACTGGATTCTTCCTGGTGAGATGAGAAGCACTGGCATTAAAAGGACAACAGTATTTCCCCCAACAGATCTCACTATTTCCCTGTCTGTTTCTTTTAGGCATTGTGGATGGAGCCCCTTACTCTATGATTACAGATTTCCCTTGGCTGAGGTCGCTCCGAACAGCAGAGCCAAACAGCTATGCCAGATACGATTTTGAGGATGATGAGAGAAGTGAGTAATTGCTGCCTTAACATGTGGCTTGGATTCAGGCTGTGTCTTTTTAAAAAATAATTTTCTAAACTTTGCATGAGGTATTGGGCATGGAGCTGTTTCTGCACCTCAGAGACATGGGGAACCCCTCGCACTAGGTATTTCCAGACAGCTGGTTCTGCCAATTCTATACCCCCAGTAGGTGTTAAGGGGACAAAGTCTGGCCCTCGGTCTGGAAATGAGTTTATCATCAGTTATGGAAAAGAAGGTTAATCCAACCATAATGAAGACCATTTAACAAAATACAGTGACTCATAGATGCATGACTTTACTTTATAACATGGACACATGGGAAAAGATCACCCTGTTTTAGTTGTACGGAATGCATTTTAAGGCATCTATAAAATATGTATAGTTAAATGACTTGGCATTTTTTGACAGCCAGATAATATGTGGTCTGTCTTCAGCAAGTTCCTGCGTTCTCTGGTGCCATATCATTGGCAAAACTGATTCACCTGATAAATCTTAATAGTCTGAATCAAAGTAGATCTGTATTGTTTTTAACTGAACAATGAGAAGACACCTTTTAACATCTGGTTGTACATCTACAAAAAATTCAAAATTGAGGCTGTAACTTCATCCTTAATTTGCCCCTGTTGTCTAGACATTTCAAAATACATGATTTTACACCATGATCTACAACATCTAGGCACATTAGGGTAAGTTATTAATAAAACCTAGCTTGGATAGCGCTTTTCATCAGTAGATCTGAAAGTGCTTTACAAAGGTGGTCAGTATTATTTCCATTTTACTTCTCCAACCCCTCAGAGAAACTGAGGCACAGAAACGGAAAGTGACTTGCCCAAGTAGGCCAGTGCTAGACTTGGATATTGAACCCAGTCTCCTAGGTCCCAGTCCAGTGCTCTAGTCACTAGGCTAGGCCAGAGTTTAACTGCAGTAGCATTTGTGATTGTTTTTCTACTAAACAGGAGTTCCTGTACAAAAGTTCAATCTTAAAACAATTGAGACATTGGGGGTTTTCAGTCAAAAGGAAAAACCTCAGACACAATTTCTTCTTCTTATGCCTGACTAATGGTTCTTAGACTTTCATGCCCAAAGGGACATTTTCTCTGTACATGTTTTACTTTCCAGGAAAAGGTTCTGTACATTCTGACTATTAGTTCTAATACAGAGATTGCTCAATTTGTGATTTTCTTCATTGAAAAGCATTTCATTTTTATTTCATTCTTGCTATACCTTTCATAGCAACTATCTATGCTCCCCGGAGGAAAGGACAGCTATCTGCAGACATCTGCATGGAAACAATAGGCGAGGAGATCTCAGAACTGCGCCAGATGAAAAAAGGTGTTTTTCAGCGGGTGGTGGCGATCTTCATTCATTACTGTGATGTCAATGGCGAACCGGTAGAGGATGATTACATTTGATTGGATCCCCCAGCGAATCCCTGGCCCTTCCTAACTTCCAGTTGGCACTGCCAGCAAAGAAAGCAGATGGATCCATTCCTACTGCCTTAGTACACTAAGGTGTCTTGGAAATTGTGTACTTCGCAGTTGGCCTGACTCAGTTTGGTATAGAATATGTAGTAAATGTATAATGAAATATAAAAATTGTATACTAAGGTTTGTACATAGAGGAAACAAAAATATTCCTAAAGCTGAGACTTTATTTCATATGTTTATACAATTTAATTTAAATTCCATTTTAATGAAGGCGAACCATTGGGACAGGGTGAAAAAGTTTGAATTTCTTAGCCCATACAATTCATAGCAGTAAATTTTTTTTGTTTGTTACAAACATAACCCCATTTGCTGTGTTCAAAAGAGTCATTGGAGTCTCTCTTAATCTGTGCCTTTTTCTTCTTGAGCATCTAAGAGTCCAGTCCGAGTAAATCTGTTGAACACAGTCTGTGTGTCTTGTGTGCATTTTTGGGAGCTTGGGGAGGAACTAACTCAAAGGGGCTGCAAAGAAGGGCAAAAGCTGAAAGGGAGCAGCCATGTCACTGATCCATAGGAAGTTGTAATTATTCACTTCCTTAAAAAAAAGCTGTAAACCAAATTTCATGTTTGAGTGATAAATTCCAAAACATTTTCTAGCATTATTTATTTCCTCATTCAATACTGTATGTGGTGCCTCTTGGAATAGGAAAATAAACCTTTATTAAACATTGGGTCCACTTGCTTTAAATATAAAGGTGCATATGAGAGATCTAACTGAAATCTATAACATTCCTGTAATGCCAGAAGGAAAAGGGCCATGTAATTACTGGCAAATGGCTGAAAGCACAGGGTTCAACTGGCTTGAATTATGGAATCAGAAGCCCCTTTTGTATCACTTTGAACTAATCAGCCCTCTGGCCGCTTCATGCTTGCCCTTCAGCTGCACCTTTTTACAGATGCAGTAAGTTATACTGTTGTGTGCTCCCCTGAACAACCGTGGAGACTGTCCTGGTTTTTACTGTACAAACAGAATGCCATCAGTTTCCACTGCACCTACACGTTCCCTCTATGGTTCCAGCAATAAGAGCCAGAATTTTGATTCTGTTGTACACAGTACATGCACTTACTGAAGTAGGGCAGGGTAGGGCTTGAACTGCATTAGACGTTTGTCAGTCATAGCAGATAGAACTAGAGAAGGTATCTGAACATTTCCTCAGCAGAAACTGCCCCATATACTTATTTTGCAATGCAGCAAAAATATATCTCCTCTTCCAAACAGGAATTATTCTGAACATCTCCTCTGGCATTCAAACAACCCTCAATCCCTTTCCCCCTCCACACCCCCACCCCCCCCCCCCGAATATCTCCAAACTCCTCACCAGAAGCAAGTTTCCCAGACCTGAAGAAGAGCTCGGTAAGCAGGGAAGCTTGTCTCTCTCTCCAACAGAAGTTTGTCCAGATATTACCTCACCCATCTTGTCACTTATTGGTACATAACATAAGCTAGCCTCTACAGCAGGGGTAGGCAACCTATGGCACATGTGCCAAAGGGGGTACGCGAGCTAATTTTCAGTGGCACTCATACTGCCCAGGTCCTGGCCACCAGTCCGGGGGGCTCTGCATTTTAATTTAATTTTAAATGAAGCTTCTTAAACATTTTGAAAACCTTATTTACTTTACATACAACAATAGTTTAGTTATATATTATAGACTTATTGAAAGAGACCATCTAAAAATGTTAAGGTATTACTGGCAGGGGAAACCTTAAATCAGAGTGACTAAATGAAGACTTGGCACAGCACTTCTGAAAGGTTGCCGACCCCTGCTCTACAGCAATAGTAGGCTAAGAAGTTAATGGAGATCAATTAAGGCCTGATCTACATTTAAAGTTTTATTGGAATGACTGTCAGTACAGGGTGAGATTTTCTGATACAGTTATGCCAGTAAAAGCTTGTGTGTAGATGTGGTTATGCTACTGAGGCGCTTTATATTGGGCCTGGTCTACACTACGACTTTAATTCGGATTTATCAGCTTTAATTCG